GCGTTTCAACCCGCACTCCGCAATCCCAATTCCGCGATCACTACAACGCCACCGTCACCGTCTTCGTCTCCAAATACGCATCCAGCCCCGCCGCGCCCTTCTCGCGCCCGACGCCCGAGTGCTTGAAGCCGCCAAACGGCGCCGCGGCGTCGAAGACGTCGTAGCAGTTCACCCACACGGTGCCGGCGCGCAGCTCGGCCGCCAGGCGATGCGCCTTGCTGATGTCCTTCGTCCACACGGCCGCGGCGAGACCGAAGGGCGAGTCGTTCGCGCGCTTGGCGACCTCTTCGACCTCGCTGAACTTCAGCACGCTCATCACGGGCCCGAAGATCTCTTCGCGGGCTATCCGCATGTCGTCCTTCACGCCGGTGAACAGCGTCGGCTCGACGAAGAAGCCGCGGTCGCCGAACCGCTTGCCGCCGGTGACGCACTCGGCGCCGTCCTGCTTGCCGATCTCGACATACGACAGGACCTTGTCGAACTGCGCCTTATCGACCTGCGGCCCCTGCTGCGTCGCGGGGTCGAACGGGTCGCCCAAGCGATAGTCGCTGTTCATCGCCGTGAGGCGCTCGACGAACTCGTCGTGGATGTCGTCCTCGACGTACAACCGGCTGCCGGCGACGCAGCACTGGCCCTGATTGAAGTAGAGCGCGAAGTGCGCGCCGGCCACCGCCGCGTCGAGGTCGGCGTCGGCGAACACCACGTTGGGGCTCTTGCCCCCCAGCTCGAACGTCACCCGCTTGAAGGTCTCAACCGCTTCACGCTGGATGATCTTGGCGGTGGTCCCCTCGCCGGTGAACGCGATCTTGTCCACTTGCGGGTGCTTCACCAACGCCGCGCCGGCCGTCGGGCCGAAGCCCGGCACAACGTTGATCACGCCGTCCGGGAAGCCTGCTTCCTTGGCGAGCTGCGCCATCCGCAAACAGGTGAGCGGCGTCTGCTCGGCCGGCTTCATCACGATCGTGCAGCCCGCGGCTAGCGCCGGCCCCCACTTCCACGCCGCCATGAGCGCCGGGAAGTTCCACGGGATGATCTGCCCGACGACGCCGACCGGCTCACGCCGTGTGTAACAGAAGTAATCGCCGCGGATAGGGATCGTGTCCCCTTGGATCTTGTCGCACCAGCCGGCGTAATAGTGCAGGCAATCGACCACCAACGGCAGGTCGGCCGCGCGCGAGTCGCTGATTGGCTTGCCGTTGTCGAACGTCTCGAGCGCCGCCAGGTACTCGATCTCTTCCTCGATCAGATCGGCGAGCCGGTGCATCAGCTTACCGCGGTCGCGGGCGTCCATCGTCCGCCAGGGACCGCTGTCAAAAGCCCGCCGCGCCGCCTGCACGGCGCGGTCGATGTCCTCGGCGTCCCCCTCGGCGACATTGGCGATCACCTCTTCGGTGGCCGGGTGGATCGTCTCAAAGGTCTTGCCGCTCGCCGCATCGACCCACTCGCCATCGATAAAGCACTGCGTCTGCTTGATCGCGGGACGCGCAACAACCTGCGTAGCGGTAGCCATCGGTACGTACCTCTGAAGTAGGGCCTCTAGCGTAGGGCCGTGGGAGTAGAGCGATGCGACGAGGCCCCCGATTGTACGGCGGAACGATAGGTTTTGCACGCCAACCGCCCGCCCCCTACTCAACCGATTCCATGCGAGCCGGGAGACGTCAGTCCCCGGAGGGAAACGGGTACATGGGTTCCACCGAGGGCTAACGCCCCCGGCTCAGACCTCCCCCATGGTCGGTCTTATGAAAACTTGTTGCTCCGCGGCTGCGTATAGCGATAGAACTACCGCTAGTGAGTTCTGACTCACGCCCAACCTGGAGCAAGTGACCATGTTCCGTCGCGCCGTGCTTGCCTTGGCCCTGTTGATGGCCTTCGGCGTCGCTCTCGAAGCGGTCGCCCAAAACCGAGCCTACTACGGCACACAGCGCCACATGAGCGCCCGCCAATACAGCGGCGAGTACCAGGCGATGCGTCCGAACGTCGTGCCGACGTTCAGCCTGCCGGTCTACGGCGGGGGCGGTTACCGGAGCTATTACCGTGGGGGGGCCTACGGGGGCTACGGCGGATATTACGGCGGGTACCCCGTCTACCGACAGCCGGTGATTATTTACCCACCGGCGATCTATTACGGTTTCTAAGCAAGTCTTCAAAAACAGCGGGTCGGAATCGGCTAGAGGGCGTGTTAGGCTACGCGAAAGTTCTGAGCCTGTCTCCCTTTACCTCCCGGAGGCCGTCATGGCCCTCACTCGCTTCGTTGTGTTCGCGATCGCTTGCGTTGCTCTGACCGGTTGTCAGGAGAAAGAAACCGTTGTCGATGTGGAAACGCCTTCCGGCGACATCGAAGTCACGAAGGACAAAGACAGCGGCGATATCGAAGTCAAGGTAGATCGGGACCCGGCGACGGAGGCCGCATCCACCACTGAGACCGCCCCCGAGTGACGCCTTAACGTCGCGCCGCGGCTACCACCGCGAGGCCCATCGCAACCACGACGACGGCCGTTGGCTCCGGGATCGGCATGTTCGACCCCGGCAGCCAGCGGCCGTAGTTCGTTTGCCAGTTGGCCATCGCCATCGCCATCGCATTGCTCGCCGGCAGGTCGCTATCGCGCAACACGGTGTAGTCGGCGGCGTCCACGCAGCCGTCGCCGTTGTAGTCGCCCGGCAGGGTCACGGCGGCGTCGATCACAAGGAGCGAAAAATCCGTCTCGGTTTGCTGCGGGACGAACTCCAGCGTGCCGGGGAGATCGGGGAACGAGTAAGCCGAGAACGAGCCGAGCAACGAGTCGGCTTCAAACAGAGAAAACGTCTGCCCAGCGGCGATCTCACTGACCGCCGATGCGTCGATGATCAGTTTGTTCCCGAAGGACAACTGCTTGGCGCCAACCACAGATGGCGTCGTGAGGTTGCTGTCGCCAAGTGCAACCGCCACCTCGTAGAACATCGACGCTCGTTCGCTAAAGTCAACTGAGCTGCCGGCGCCAATGTCGATCGCGGAAAATATCTCTGCCGACGTGAAATCGACCGATGCTCCGTCAGCAACGCGTATCACGCCACCGGACGATGTACGGATACTCGTATCGATCTTGTTGTGCTGCCCTCGAACCTCGAAGAGTCCGTGAACCATGAGCGTCGCATTATCTGTGACGCCAACTTCCGGTCGGATGGTGGAGCCATCGATCACCAACGACGCAGGGTTAGACGTCGAGCCTTCGATCATCAGCTGACCCGTGAGTAGCAGCTCGCTATCGACGAGCTCGATGTATCCACTGCCGGCATACCTCGAAGCCGCTTGCAGGCGAATGGTGGACCCTTCCGCAATGAGTTCTCCCGTTAGCCGTGATAAGGAAGTGTTGGTGCTGACAACCGTAAAAGCACTGTCTTTTAAGCGAACAAAGCCCTCGACGTTGTTATTGGTGAGAGTGCCGCGTACGGTCAGATCACCCCGTTCCACTTCGATCGAACGGTAGGAATTGCTTTCGTTTCGGAAAACAAGTCCGCCAACATCGAGTTGCCCGCCAATCACCCGCACTCTCCCCGCGACATCAGCGAAGCCATTGATTTGCAGAGACTCACCCTCACCGACCTCGATCTGACCAGTCGAATCAACGGCGACAATCCCCGTCACTTCGCCTGGTCCCGACAAATGCCCCTCCAGTTCGAGCCGGGACATCGCCAGCGTGCCGCCATCTAGTTCGAGACTCCCGCCATAGCCGACAAAAGCACGGCTATTGCTGCCTTGAGTCTCTAACGAACGGACGATCGCTCCATCGGCCACGCGAAGCCTTCCGAAACCGGGATAGGTCGTCGATACGTCGCGGCGCCCGATGGTAAGTCCATTGGTCTGCAACTCCGTCCGATTACCAGCAAGCTCAACATTCGATTGTATCTGAACCGCGTTCTCAACAACGTTGGTTAGTGAGCCGACGCGGACCACGGCGCCATCGCGCACGCTCATGGATGAGAGACTGCCACCCGACGCAACCAACTGCGAGCCGATCGTCACGAGCGACGAATTGCCAATGACTTCGACCGAGCCAATCCCCCGCCCACCGTCCAGGCCAGCAATCGACAGTACACCTGACTGAGGGTTGCCAACTTGCAGCCAGGCGCCGTTATCGACACGCAGATAGCCCGAGCCGTTGGCTCCAACAATGAGTGAGGGCGTGCCGCTCGAACCGGCTGATGTGATACTGGCCTTCGTCTGTGGTCCGGTCACCACCATCCTCGCCAGAGCGGCGGCATGACTGCCGACCAGCACCCGACCGGCGGTGAACTGCGAGCCGCCATTCACCTCAACGCCGCCGCGCGGGTCCGCGTCCAGGGGGGATTGGCTCGTGGGACCAATCGCGACCGTCGTCGTG